AATGTTTTTTTTTTTTTTTTTTTTTGCTCATACACATACGCTACGCTTGTGATAAAACTTTACAGTGGGGGTCAATGTGAGGCTTTGGAAAGTGGTTGGGGGTTGACGATTAAAAAAGTTTGGCGACACCTGGTCTAAGGAAATGGGTCATAAATAAAAAAGCATTAATGGATCTGAATTGGTTTACAGGAAAAATTTTTTTATTCATTTCATTGTAATGAGGAAATTTATAATCAACGAAGTAAAAAAATTATATGCTTAATTATTTTTTCTTTATTGATAATATAATTTAAATTTATAATTTTACTCATTAAATTTTTAATTGGTTTACTTGTTTTTAAGACTTTCAAAATCATATTGGAATATATAGGATGTATTGAAGTGAATACTAATAGTATAGTTTAAGATTCTAATCAAGTAATGCTTTCATTGTTTGTTTACTTTGAAATTTATTTAATGTAGATTGATACTTGCATTATTTTGTAAAGTAAACATTTTAATAATTACAAAAAATTTTATTGCATTTTAGTTCTTTCTATTTGTATTCTCCAATTGTTTCATTTTTTATGTTAGTTATTCAATCATGAAGATCTGTAAAATTAAATACTGATTTATTTAATTATGCAACTACAGTATATTCATGTAAGGAATGATATATATTTACATGTTTTCAAATATAGTCATATATTCAAAGATATGTTTTCATTATATGAATTATGTTAGATTGTTATTAATTGAGTAAATTGTTTAATTAATTGGAAAGTATAGAATGAGATGACATTTGAAAAAGCTTTCAAAAATCTGGAATTGTCTGATGATAGTCTAGCATATTAGAAGTTTGCAAATCAGAATTTGTTTACACGTGTGCTAAAGACTTCCACCCCAAGGTCTTTGTATACAGCAGTGTTTCTCAACGGGGGCGATATCGCCCCCATGTGGGCGTTTTTCCACGTTCAGGGGGGCGATTAGTAACAATTTATATTTTGGGGGGTGAAAAAACAATTTTCTGGGCAATATAGTAAAATATTATATTAAGAATAATTAGATATTTTATTCGTTATATCATACAATAATTAAACAAATAACATTATATAGTCACTAGTCTATTCGATGCAGTACGAATTTGGCATTAGCCTTGTCCCTTGGCATCGGAATTTTGTAGTGAAGGGGGCGATACTACATTGAAGGGGGCAACGATTCGTTAGAGGTTGAGAAACACTGGTATACAGTATGTCCAGAAAATGAATATTATATGTAACATGAATCATTGTAAATGTTGATTTTCTGTAATAACATGTTCATTAATGTTTTGCAGATTTCTCAATATTAATATAGTATAGTCATGTACTGTATCATCTTCAGACTGACTAAAGAGCATGTGTAAAACAAATCAGAAGCATACAACAGTGTGCAACAATACAAAATGTACAGCATGTCTGCAATTATCAGATTGTTTATAATTTATCAAATTTTACAAAAATGCTCAGTAAGACTTTGCTCTTAATGTTTCTGAACTTGTTAAAAAGATATTAATTCGTACTTTTAAAATATTAAATTTTTTGGTATTAACAACATAAGTATAACACAATTTATGTGACTCAGTTTTTACTGCTTTAATATTTTCAATATGTTAAAATCATATCATAATCAGGAACAAAAACAATCTATTAATTATTTAAATTTTGGTTCCTGAGGATGATATATCAAAAATGTTAAATTAGTATAAATGTCAGTTATATAAATTGTGTTGTATTTATGTTAACATAAAAAAAATAATTTTTTAAACTACATTAATTCTGGTTTATTCATACAAGGAAAATAGTTTAATCTCACAAGACAAAAAATAACAAACAAAAAAAATAAAAGCAGATTAAATAGCAATTTTACTAGAATAACAAAAATGTATTTTATTATTGTTCACTTAAATAATAGTTTCTCAAATGGTTTTGGGCAACTAAGCCTATTGTAAGAAGATATATAAGTAAATAAGCTTGGTAGCTAAGTTGCCTAAATTTGTTTACATAACATCTCTAGACATTATACAATATAATTGCCAATAAAGCAGATTTTTATTTACTTAAAGAATTTTGAAATTGTTTTCATTATGCAAATTTACTATGTTTTAATTGAAGATCATTTTTGTGAAAAATTTTTGCAATCATGAAATAAAACTAGATTTAATATTGTTTTAAATAATATGAACACTTGCTTATATATTTACAAGAAGAAAATTAGTGAAAAAGAATCATTTCTATCGTTTCTTTTTTATATCAATAAAAAATGACAGAACATACAAAGAAAAGTTCTATTATTTCTGTCTTCATAAAGATTAAAAATACATTGCTTGTATGAAAATAGGCAACATGTAATTATCTGAATTTAATATGTTACAAGCGTATAAAAATAATTTATTTAAAACAGTCATGTGCAACCTTTGTGGCCTGTAAGGTTTTAATATGCAGTCCCTGGGGCTTTGGCAACCGTATTGGCAATTTATTTTCCTGTTTTCTGTCTCATACCTTACATAACTCTAATTAAGTTGATATTCACAACAAAGAACATTTAAAAAAACTTGACTAATGAAAAGATGAGAATAAATTATATATTATTAGTTTGCATACCATTAGAATATATTATTTTAGTACCTAGTGGTATGTAGGCAATTATGGAGTATGTTGTTACTCAGCAACTTTAAGTTTGTTTTTTTTGCATAAAATAATTTATACTATTTACAATTGAATGCAACTTTTCTTCTTTATTTCATTGAAAATAAATATCTAAATTATAGAGAAAATGGAAGATTTTATAAGTTACAAAATACATTTTTAAATTTATAATTAGATAGTTATATACAGGGTGTTCACTTAAACATCTAACCAGGGGCAAAAGAGATCTTTTTAGCATTGATTAGGTTAGGTTATAGACTACAGCAGATACAAATACATTGGATATTACATCACCATGACATACACCCATTCTGCTGTTATCTGCAACCAGCACAATAAGCAGATGATGCCACATATCAAATTTGATGGATAAAACATGATGTTAAATTTACAGCATGGTGAACCACAGCTTCTTCAGAACATTTTGTGGACTGATGAGGCACCATTTTCCTGGAATGGAGTGTATAACTGTTGCAATGTGCACCACTGGGTAGCGTGTGCTTTTATGATGCTGTAACATGCAGCACCAAGTGTGTTTTACCCTAAACATTGGGAGTGAAATTTTGGATGAGCAACTTCTTGGTATCTTATTCATTGACAGTATCGTGAATAGTAGCATCCTAAACAAGGTAATGGATGAATGGCTTGATGACTTGCTATTGGTGTAACTACAGCAGATTGAGTACCAGCATTATGACATGCCAGTTCATTTTCAGACAGATGTGCATCAGTAGCTCACAGAGTGGTTTTACAATCATTAGATAGGCCAACCATGCCCACCACATTCCCCAGACTTGGCCCCTCTGGATTTTTTTCTGTGGAGGTCACCTAAAAGCTTTGGTGTGTGATGATATCCAGCAGTGCCATATGATGTCGACAAATTTAGAGATCCTTACAAAAGGCCTGTGAAATTGTGACACAAGGAATACTATATACCATCCATAATGCCATGCTCAACTGTCTACATCTTTGTATTGAACATGTTCTCTAACAAAATAAAGTTTGCTTTTTTGTATCAATTTCTGCAATGTTGTCTTTATCCTTAACAGTCAGAGATTATTTCTATGCTATGCTAAATTACCTTAAATTGATTTGCTTTGGATATTTTAGCACTGAAACAAACATGTACCACATGCATACACTTGTGCAATGCTAGAAAGAGTTCTTTTGCTCATGGATAGATGTTTAAATGGACATCCGGTATATATTATATATGTATGTAATATTTAAAGATTTTACATTAAAATATCTATAATGTAATGAAAATATATATTCATTTTTAATCTTTTAACTCTTAAATTTTTTACAGATAATATCAGTATACCGTCAGTATACTTTTAAGAAATGGCACCTGTAAGACGAAGAAGCCAAAATGTTTCAAGTTACAGAATGGGGAAGACAGATGTTGTTGATCGAAATCGTTGGTTACCATTTCTTGATTTTCCATTATGCATTCAAGAAATGATTTTCAGTTATCTTCAATTTGGAACAATTTCAAAAATACGTGCGGTGAGAAAATATATTTAAATTTTGTAAAATCTTAATTACATATATGATAAGTAATTTTTCAGAATTAATGATAGATGATTTCATACATTTGCACAGGAAATTAATTACATTTTTTATAACAATAAAGTATATAAAGTTTTTAATTGATTATATTATGTTACATAAATAATTTTCAGATGAGAAATACTGTAGTTGTTATATTGCGCTTGTCGGGAGACAAAGAAAAAGCACATTGTATCTGGCAGCACAATATAAGATTTAACTGAGTACTAAAAATTCTGGGCTTATATTAAACAGATTATACTTGCTATGGAATCTATCCTCTATTATTTCATCAGTAAGTGTTTTTGATATAAAATAAGCTTTGTTTTGCAATACTGAATTTTTATTCGTGGTTATATCATATTAAATGATGTTTACATAAACATCAATACAACAAACACCTATTTAGCATTAATGTTTCTTTAGCAATGATATTTAAAGACAAATACTGTCGATATAAAAACAAAATACTAGTTGCAATTTTATTATACAGTATTATATTTCATAATAAATTGCTTATTAAAAATTTGTGTAATTTATATTTTTCAATAAAAATTATAAATACAGTAATTAAAAATTTTAAAAATAAATATTAAACATACAATAGAACATAAAAACTTATAAAAATTACAGAGTAAAAATTCTCTAAAAAGCAAAATAAAGTTAGTACAGTGTAAAAAAAGTTTAGAACTTTCTATTCAGAAATAAACAAATCTATCTTTTCCTTGCACATTACAAGGTGAATTCGAAATTTTACATAAATGTGTGAAATTTCGAATTCACATAAACTTGTAAATGAGAAGAGGTACTTAAAATCAATAAACAAACAACTTTTAATTTCAGAAGGAAATGTAAATGATGATTGATCTGTCTACTTGTTTTGTTTATTTAGGTCTTGACGAATTTTTTTGTTCTACCTGCAGTGTAGTTTCAAGGACAATGGTAGGAATAAAATACTGTATTTCATTGCAAAAAGAAATTCAGTGGCAATTGATGTTTTAAAATTTATTGACTCGAGTGCTTTTGAAATTTGGGGACCCAAAAAAAGTGCGATATATCCAAATTTGCGATATAACAAGGGGCTACTGTACTATTAAAAAAATTTATCAAAAGTAGAAGAAATTATATAATCTTATCAAATTTTGCAAAGCTCTTTATTGACATGACTATGTCTTGTTTATAAAATCGTACTGCCAGTTTATGCTACCAGCTTAGAGGTATGAACGAGTTGATATTTGGCATAGAGTATTAGGTGCCCAAATCATTTGCACATAAAAAAATCCAGACTTGTAGGTAGTAGTGTTGCCAAAATCGCTGACTCGGACGGCAGGTCAGGTTTGTTCGAACAGACGTTCCTGATGAATGCACAATGTCATTTTACAATGCGAAGAATAATGTGTATGCCGATTCTAAATCAGTTACAGTTAGGGACTAGGGACTTGTGTAGGAGTAATGTAAGTAACTCTAAATTAAGAAAGAACAGGTACAGATGACTTAGCTCTATTGGATATTGGAGATGTGTACGATCTCCAATATCCAATACGGATTGTACATGCAAAAGAAGAAAAAAAAGGTCGATAGGTTGCATGCCACATGTTGACGTAAACAGACTAACATGGCAGAATTGCAGATGAGTTTCAGTGAGTGTGAGTTCTTTCACTGTTAAAATAGTGTAAATTTGTAAAAATATTTACAAGAACTTTGTTTCATGTAATTTTACAATTTCTACGAAATTCTCAGACAAAATTAATAGTTCACCTGGACAGTGAGTCAATTCCTAGACTGTCTGGGTGAAAACCAGACAGATGGTAACACTAGTAGGTAGTCAGGTAGAAAACCAAGATCCGAGTCAAAATAAAATACAAAAGGGCAAAACAGGCACCTCACCCTACTAAAGTCAGGCAGGGGAGAGTACCACCCATAGTCATTCTAAGAAGTGAACTCTGACCTTAGGACTGAACACGTAGTTTCTTCTATGTTAAATAAAATTTGTAATCTAATTTTGTAAATTTGGGAGTGCTTCAAATATGACATTAAAACAGGGTGTCGCTACAAGTAGGTTTTTTAACACTATCTAGTATAGTAAAATCGTGGGACCAATAAAAATTTGACATTATATTAGGGTTGTCATTACATCCAGTGATGTTATAATCAGGTTAAACTGCATATTGTTTGTGCAAAATAAAAAAAAAATAATTTCAGACGATACAATAGCCACAATTATTTGTTTCAAAAACAAGAAATTTTTGTTATGCATCAACAAAAATTTAACCCAGGCCGACACCAATGGAGAGAAATTTCAAAATTGGATAGGTTAATTTAATCAAAAATGCATCGTGGATGACCTCGTGGTCATGACCAGTGAAGTTTGAACGATTGCGCCCAAAAGCAGCGATACCAAAGAAGATCAGAGAATGAGAACGAGACCCACCTTGAGCGTCAAAGTGAATCTCTCAGACATAGTCTTGTCCCAAATACAGTTTTGCCATTTTACTTCTTTAATATTCTTTTCATGCAATCTCTTTTGCATTTCATGCTTTATATAATGACCTCAAACACTAAAAAATTTTTTTAAATTTATATTTGTGGAAAGATGATAGGGTTAGTCTTGAAAATTTTTAGTGTTTTTGGATCAAAAACACAAATTTTAATTCATGTAGTGATGTTAAAAATATTTGCAATATTCTTAAGCATTTATTTTATTACATATAAATTTAATTCTTAACATTTATTTTTTATACATGGAATTTAATTTATTTGAAATAATCTTGTTAAAAAATGAAAGATGGCACATTTCAAATAGTTCTGTTGAGAAAATGAATAAAACAAGTTTGTACTGTTTGGTACTTTTGTGAAAAGCTATTACATAATCTGAAGTACTCTATTCAAACAAATTTGGAGAAATATCATTCAAAAAATTTGGAAGAAGTGTGACATGGAGTTCATGGCAGGAGTTTAAGCAAAATTGAGATGTATGTGACAAGGTGGTCTATGAATCATTACTTTGCAAAGTGAATTTAGTGTTTGTGCTGTCCCATGAACAAAATTGGTCTTTGTATGTTCATTTGTTTTGGTAAAACAATATCAATAAAAAGTGAATATCTTATTTCCAAACACCTTTTATTAAAGTTCTTAAAGATTTATAATAATTCTTTCATTTTTTTATAATGTCTTGAAATATACAAAATAATTTAAAATAAAGATATTTTAAAAATGGTTAAAATTTTTAAGAATAGTATTTTATTATTATAATCAATTTAAAAAAAATATTTTCAACATATTGAAGTAATTCAAACATTTAATAATTGTTTTCAGGTATGCAGGCAGTTCAATTTGATATGTTCATCATTGCTGAATAAAGAATTTTGTAGACTTCGTGTATTAGTACAACAACATTTTTTAAATATTAAACAACAGATGCCACGACGTGAATCAGCGCGTCGAAAACATCCTTTAGCAAGAAGAAATGATATAGTAGATACACTTCATATGCAACTGACATTATTACAAATGACATTTGGAAAGCATATTGAAAGAAAATTTTGTTGTTTTTTTCCTGGAGAGGTACTTTAAAAAAATTACTATAAATTATTTAAAATAAAAAGATAAAATTACTAAAATATGTTTTTAAACTATTAAGTTATTAACAAAAGTAATAAATTAGAACTGTTAATTCTTTTTACTTCAAAATTTTTTTATTATATTCAAGGTGAAAAAACTTCATTTACATAGAAATCAGATCCAATTTATTCACTATTAAATGTTTTCAGGAATTACTATTTTCTGTATCAGAATTCCACATAAATAAAATCAATAAACATGAATATTAGAGAAAGTATAAATTGCTTACAATAGAGATAAAAGTTAAATGTCAAAAAACAATAATTCAACATAAAGGTTTCTTCTGATACATGCACATGAATTTGGAAAAATTTGAATATTTTAAAAAGATTGTTTTTATTAAGTTTTTCTATGACAAAAATTGGATTTCTCTTTTTGTTAATTATATGCATTTTTCTAAATTACTTTCATATTATTTATTACATATAATTACAGTAGAACCTCTATATTCATCAACCTCTACATTCTTAATATTTGATATTCGTCATATTTTGATGACTTTTATTTTTCCATATTCGTCAGTATTTTCTGTATTCATCAACATTCCCAACACTGGAAGTGGCATTATAATTGCACGCCCGCACTGATCAGCTAGCTGTGTTAGCTAGCTATAGTTAATCAGTTCTGCTTTGTGCAGTTGTCACGTGTGTTGTCGAGCTATTGAAAAATAATCAATGCGAGAAACAAAGTTCCAATCGCTCCAAAATGGCACCCAAATGTTGCTGTAGTCAACCAAAATACAAATACATTCAATGATAATGTAATTGCCTACTTCAGAAAAGTTTTAAAAAGCAGACAAAAACACACAACACTGGACAAGTTCTTTATTAAATCAAGTGCTACTGAATCATCAGCAAAACAGACACCATGATCATAATTGGAATTGCCTAATGTTTTAATTCATATGTCTTCTAAACAATAATACTGTTCTTCCCCTTCTACCACTATTGATAGTAAAGAATCTTCTGATGATTTAAGCTGTGATGATGAATCAGACATTGACAACAGAAAGTCAAGGAGCATGTGTCACTGCACTATAGGATTGACCATTACAGGATTAGTGTTCAACATACAGAACCATGCAGGTACAACCTATTATAAAATCTTCAACAAGCTGGGTGTTTGACTCTTTTTCACAGTGCAGATATCAAAAGAGGGTTTAGGGAAAACAAAAGCTTATTTTGTCCAGACAGAGTAAGTCTCAGTACAAAAAGCATTAATATTAAGAACCACTTCATCTTTCATGGACAAATTCAGTGAAAACCTGGAGAAGGTTCCAATAATAAGACAGGTTCTGTAAGCCAGCCAAGAATTCATACAAACAAAGAAAGGAAGCAATGAAATGAAAAGAGGGTAAAGAAGCCTTGTTAGATGCATTAACATCTTTAGAAATTCCAGATCTATCTGACCTTGAAGTCCAGAAGTTAAGAGGGGAGAATTTAATGAAAGACAGACTGGAAATGTTCCAAGAAACTTGTAGAGATCTAAGATGGAAGTAGCAAATGCAATTTTGAAAAGTGCCACATATAATGTAGAAAAAATCAATTGCAGAAATAGCTAGTAGAGCCAATCAAAGAAAGGGAAAACTAACTGATTGAGTAAATTTTACTGTATTAAATAAAAATGATTTTGGCAAAAAAATAACAAAAGGTATGTAAATAAGAGTCATTCATAGTAATGTGAAAAAGTGTGAAAAAAAAAACAATTTCATTTGTTAAAAAGTGAATATATTACTGT